GCATTTTATTTATTTTTGTATAAGACAAAAGGTATTTGTAAACACTTTCTTTTAGCTAGCATTTGGTCCCAAATTTTTAAATATTATTGGCAAATTATTTTTGGGTGAAGTTCACCATGGGTTTGGCTATAAATTTTGGGAGAAATTGTAACACCTTGAATTGTCTAGAAAGGGCTCAAGTGGGAAACTCACAAGCCAAGACTGGACCATGGGACCCTCCATGAAGCCTCTGACGGGCCGTGAAGGGGACCACGGTCCATGAGGTGGCTCATGGCAAGTTCCCCACGACCAGTTGAGCAGGTGTTACTCCCACGAAGGCTCAGACGGCCAGTGGAGGGGTTGACGGGCCGTCAGTCAGTTGGGTTGTTTGGGTTGTTAAGTGGTCGTCAGTAGGGGGCTTTTCCCCCTTGCCACTGGTCAAGGACCACGACAATCATAACAGCCCGTGGTGCCTTTGACTAGCCGCCAAGGCTGTTGTGGCAGTGCCACTGTGAAGCCCTAAGTCAAGGGCCTCCTCACGACCCAAGTCCACGGGCCGTGGGGTCCACCGTGAAGCAGGTTGCGTTAGTTTTAAGTCAAGGTCTTTTAGGTCTTTTCCAGATTAATCTATCCTAATACTATGTCATTTTACCCTTCATCTAAAGTCCTATATAAATGTTTTCACCCCAATTTCCCCAATTGAAATCATTCTCTCAAATTCTTAAAAGAAGAACAAGTCTTCCTCTCCAAAATATTTCTCTCTCTAGAAAGCTTGAAGAAGAAGGAGTCAACCTAGGATTTCAAGTCAAGTATCCAATCCCACCATTGAAGGCAAGCTTTTGCCATTGAGGTATGATAGTCTTCATCCATGGATCCCTTCCTCTATGGAGTTCCTAAATTCTCCAATTTATAAACACTACTAAAAAAACTGTGAATACCGACCTCCGGAGGTCGGTATTCCTTGAAATACCGACCTAAAACCGACATCCCAGCTTAGGTCGGAAAAAGCTTGGTCGCTATTCAATACCGACCTCTGGAGGTCGGTATTTACTGACCTCTCGAGGTCGGTTTTTATTTTATGTCGGAATATTCATTTTTTTAAATTCCAACCTATGGAGGTTGGTATTTTTATTTTTGTAATGTTGAAATTC